AGTTTAAAATGTTTTGTAATTCTATTAATCTCAACCAGTTAGTTAATTCTCCCACCAGGCCTAATTCCAAATGTCCAGATAAATCTACCTTGATTGACTTGATCTTAACTAATGTGCCTCATAAATTATCTTCCTTGGGTGTCTTCTGTAATGCCCTAAGTGATTATTGTGTGGTTGCTGCGTGTAGAAGCACTAGGATTCCAAAATGCAAACCCTGTATTGTTCGCAGAAGGAATCTTTAATGAACAAGCCTTTCATCATGATTTGTCTATGGTGAACTGGGAATATATAAATCAAATTCCAGATGTAGACCTTGCTTGGACCTTTTTGAGAGACATTTTCATGCAAGTAATAAATAAACATGCACCTTTGAAGAAATTACAGGTAAAGGGGCGAGAAAATCAGTGGTTTTCTCCAGATCTGGCAAATGGCTTTCATGAGCGTAATAAAGCATGGGACAAGGCAAGACAAAGTGATTGGTCATATTTTAGACAGCTTGAAATACATGCACTTTGCTTATTAAAAAGGCCAAAGCAAAATTAATTTTTGTCCATGACCACTGAAAACTTCAATGAGCCACTGAAATTCTGGAAAGTGATCAAATCTCTTACTGTTAATTAAAATTCACAGGCTCTTCCAACATTTGTACTTAAAGACTTAGTCCCAGTTTATGATAGAACTAAAATGTTGAATTGTTATAACCAGCATTTTTTTGTCGTCTGGTTCTCTATTAAAAAAAACAACTAGCAGGAATATTTGTGCAGAATCGCCCATGTTTTGTTGTAGAGCCTTTTAATTTTACCTTTAAGAACATTAGACCACAGAAAGCCCCCTCGACCTGACTTAATTTAGTCTTACTTCCTAAAACTGGCAGCTGATTTCATACCACAGCCATTGTCCATTCTTTTTAATCTTTCAATTGAAAACAAGGACATCCCATCTATTTGGAAAAATGCATTGGTCCTTCCTTTATTAAAAGGAGGTGATCCATCAGTTCTTACCAATTAGTCCAATTTCAAATTTATGTGCTTTATCTAAAATTCTGGACTCTCTTGTTTGTGATCATTTGAAAGAGTTCCTCCATTCAAATGAAATCCTTTCTAAATATCAATCAGCACTATTACTGCTACTATGAAGGTGATAAATGATATAATTGTAGCACTTGATAAAAACAGTACTGTGTTTCACTCTTTATTAATCTTTCAAAAGCTTTTGACACCGTAGACCATGTTATTTTAAAATGCAGGCTACTTCTCATTGGACTTTTAGAGCATGCGGTTGCTTGGTGTGCCACAAGGATCTGTTTTGGCCACCCTCTTATTGATCTTGTACATCAACAATGTTGAACAAAATTTCTCTGATGCTAATAAGCTTTTTTATGTTGATGATACCATTATGTATTGCTTTGGGTCACCTCTTGAACAGGCTACTTATTCCCTACAGAAAGCCTTTGTTGCCGTACAGTATTCATTTATTAATGTTGAATTATTTCTGAATGCTAACAAAACAAAGTTAATGTTGTTTTCAAATCTTAAGGATGTGCCTCAAACCCTGCCAGTATTGTCCGCTCTGGAGGGGGATGTCATTGAGGTGGTACATGAATATAAATACCTTGAAATTAATGACTCCCTCACCTTCAAACCTTTTATTGATAAACTTGTGAAGAAATTAAAAGTTAAACTGGGCTTCTTCTTTTTTAATAAGACATGTTTTTCTTTGGGAGTAAAAAAGCGCCTTGTCTCTACTACGTTTTTATTGGTCTTAGATTATGGTGTCCTTTTCTATAAGAATTCTTCTTCTTCATGTCTTCAAATGTTGGACTCTGTTTCCCATGCTTCATTAAGGTTCATCATAAACTGTAGAGCCATGACATCACTGTGATCTGTATGCTCAGGTGGGATGGCCTTCCCTCTCTATGAGAAGGCAGTGTCATTAGTACACTTTTATTTACAAAACCCTTCTTGGATTACTACTTTCTTACATTTTTACCTTACTTACACAGAAAAGCATGGCTTCTTATGCCCTGAGATCCAACAATCAGCTGTTGCTCACTGTTCCTTTTGCCCGCACAGAAGTAGGGAAGAAAGCTTTTAGCTAAACAGCTCCCTGTGTGTGGATTTTTTTTTTTTACAAAGAAACTGGAAGTTGGCTGAGTTTTTATCTTTAAATGCTTTTAAATTGAAAGTGAAAGAATTTCAAGCAGCCTCAATAATCTGTAATTGGTTTACTTGATATGTTTTTTTATGTACCTGTCATTTAATTGAATGTATCTTTGTTTATTATGTAACTTTGCTGCCTCTTGGCCATGACACCCTTGAAAATTTGGCTTTTAATGTCAATTGGATTTTTTCCTGGTTAAATAAAGGTTAAATCAAATAAATTAATTAATGAATTCACTCACTGAACTATCATTATTCATCTATGACAAGGTAAACTCGGTTTTGCATTCTATGACCCCTTTAACTTAATTATACTAATAATTTATATAGATTTATATTGATTATACTAGTAATTTATATAGATGGTTAATAATTAACCATCTATATAAATACCCATCTAAATACCCTTTGTGCAATAACCCTGTATAATAATCCCGCTTAAAACAAGGGGTATTATATACTGTATATACCCCCATGCACCTTTTCTGCACCTCCTTTTTCTTTTTGACTATTTGAGCTGATGTAATGAGTAAATGTCTCCACTGTGAGATCAATAAAGTCAATCAATCTATCTTTCTAAATTCTCCTAAGTTCTGAATGTGTTTCTGAGTGTGGAAATAGGCACTAGAACCCCTCAAGGAATCTGACCAAAGTATTTGGATATAGAAAATAGACATTAAGCTTCTCTGATAGGTACAGTAACTCTTAGTAAGTTACATTCTTAGTATGTATTACCTGAAAGATCTCTTCCTCTATTTACCTTTGATTACTAAGGTAAAGACCCCCCATATTACTATCCAACCAATAGAATAATACCAGCAATATAAAGTTCAGTACAACAGCACTGCAATGATCTCCTTTTTGAAAATGTTCTTTAAGATGGTAGAAGTCCACCTATAAGGACAGAGTCAACAATATAATGCAAGTCTACTGTCGCAACATGCTCTTCCTGAAGGAGCGAATCCTGCAAAGTAAATGACTCTTTTGTCTGTATGACTTGACTGAATTATTCATGTTAATTTCCTTTAGATTATATGTGTTATGAATTGGTGCTGCATAAATAGAACTTAATTTAATTCAACAATCCCATAGCTTCAGATGCAGTTAATCTGGATTTAAACTAAATTAAGACACAAAAAAGAAATTAATGGAAGGTATGATATAGTAACAAAATGGTTGTAGCAAGATGGTCTATACTTGTTGTATACCTTATTATTACCCTATTTAATTATACTTAAAACTTGTTTGGAAGTAAGAAAGAAAGTTGTTTTAAGTAGCATGAGTAATAAGTCAGCATATTACTTTCCCAGTAGACGATAAACAGATATGAAATGTATATTATTTGCACAATGAGAATACAACAGTAATCAATAGCTACCTATGACAAAACAGCTTTTCTAATCCCTGTTACAGTGCAAGTGTTGCAAAAAAATGACACCAAATACACAACTGTGGAAACGGATAGCAAGGACATTTGTTTTAAGGAAACAGTTCATACTCCTATATATAATCAAATCATTCAGCAATTACAAGTAAACAAAAACTGCTCGGAAGTCATTTGACAAAATTTTCTTCTTCCTCTCTTTTGACTTTTGGCAAACAGCACAGTATTGCCAGCTCTCTGAATCAAACCATTTTTTGCAGCAGACAAAAGAAAAAAATGTAGCCTCAAGGCTGAGAAGATGATATTTGTCATAAAATAAATTATGATTCTTTTAAGAAGATCTTTTTATATATCCGGTTGGCAAGTGATTGTCCACAGCATGCTGAAAACGTATTTTGCCTAAATTGATTATCCTCTTTGTTTAACCAGAACAACCTTTCAACCACATTTAACCACACTTTTTGAATGTTTGCTTTCTAGCAATTTTCCATGTGTTTACACAATAGGTAGAGGATCTCTAATAGATGTCACTCAGCTCAGATTGAAATAAAAAAAAAGCATCTCTAAACAGGAATTTTAGATTTAAATATATGTAAACCTTCTGAAAACAGAATATATTTCCAAATTGCATTGGCAAAAATATCTGTTACATAAATTAAGGTACAAGATCCCATCAGTCGATCCATACATTTTCTGTCACGATTTATCCCAGTTTGGGTCGCGAGGGGTTCTGGTGCCTATCTCCAGCAGTCGAAGGCGAGAGGCGGGGTACACCCTGGACAGGTCACCAGTCTATCACAGGGCAGACACAAACAACCATTCACACAAACACTCACACCTAAGGAGTGAGGCGCAAATTAACCTTAACAGTCATGTTTTTAGACTGTGAGGAAGCCAGAGTACCTGGAGAGAACCCACGCATGCCAACTCCATGCAGAAGACCCCAGAAGACCCCAATTGAACCCAGACCCTTCTTGCTGTAAAGCCGTAGTGCTACCCACTGCCCCACTGAGCAGCAAGCCAGTCCCGTCTCTGTTAATCTGTCTGTTATGGGAGACAAAGCTAAACTCATCATCTGGTCATGGGGCCAGACCTCTTAGCAGTCAAGGCAGAGACTCACAAAATTAATTCCCCCCAGCATGTCCTGGGTCGTCCCTTGGCCTCTTCCCATGCGTGAAACACCTCCTGATTTAGCTGACCATGGACCATCTGAAAAGATGGCATGCTGTAGATCTGTCTGTCTGTCTGTCTGTCTGTCTGTCTGTCTGTCTGTCTATCTATCTATCTATCTATCTATCTATCTATCTATCTATCTGAAAGCCTAAAACCTGTCACCAGATGCTTGAAGTCGTGGTTCTTCATTTTTCCAACAGCCCCTGAAGGTAGCGCAGCTAACAAACTCCACCCCAGTCGCCACCCCCTTGGATGAAACGTCACACCCTCGGCTATTTGCATGAAGTGTTTTCGTGCTGCAGCCCCAACTCGCCTGCAGAGTGATAGTCTCCGAGGGGTAAAAGCGAGGGAAGAAGCGCAGTTAAACCAGGAGGAGGTGGAGTAAGAGGGGGATCCTTTACATCAGGGAAGACGCAGGAGAGAGAGAGAGAGGTGGGGGGAAAAAAATAAAGGAAGCCCTGACAGAGTAGATCAGGTGTCCGCGCTAAGAGAAACCAGAGTCGCCTCTCTTACGCTGGAAAATGGAGCTACCCGCCGCTGGAGAGCACGTCTTTGCGGTGGAGAGCATCGAAAAGAAGCGCAGCAGGAAGGTTGGCTTTTTACGCACATGCATGCGGGAATGATTTATCACATCTGTTTAATACAACTGTCTGCATGTTTATTATGCTTTATTAATATATTCCTCTAATGGTGACGGTGCAGCGATGAGTAAAGTCATCTCATCCCGTTTGCTTTCTCTCTCTCTCTCTATTTCTCAAACACAGGGGAGGGTCGAGTATCTGGTCAAGTGGAGAGGATGGTCTCCAAGGTGAGTCCGGAAACAGCATCGCTTAACATCAGCAATCGGAATAAATAAATAACAGGGGCGAGCAAATGGGAGATTTCTTGTGGACGGGTGCGCGCAGATGGGCGGTTTGCGCGTTCTTGGTCTCGGGCGCCCGGCTCGTTGGCCCCGATGATGGATGTGGTTTTACGATCTGTGCAATCCCCAATGTGCCAATTAGAGGTCTGTAATTGGGGGGGCGATGGTAAAAAACCCCGCCTGTAGATGTGGGTTTGTGATCTGAATCTGAGCGCGTAAAAAGTTGTGACTGATTTATTACACGTGTACCAATTGAGGAGGGACAAGTGTCTCGGCGTGTTAACTCATGTGCAAACCTGCTTTAAGAGGGATATGAGGGCTCATAAACTACACTCTGTGTTAATAACAACTTTACTGCCTGTCAATATCAGCCTTTTTTTTTTAGACAGCTTTTCCCAACTGGTTTCTCCACTTTTCCTCTCTGTGCAGATACAATACATGGGAACCAGAGGAAAACATACTGGATCCAAGGCTGCTAGATGCTTTCCAAGATAGGTGAGTTCAGAGTTGGATAAACCAGCTTCACAAGTAAGGACACCTTCAAGAAAAAATAAAACAACAATAAAAAAACTGGTTTATAGATGAATAGTTTCCCACCTTTCTGGTTCCTGTCACAGATCTTGACCTTAACTGCCATTGGTTCGTAGGAAATTAATGTGTGTTTGTTGGTTCAAACCCAGATTCTTGGATGATCCCTCAGTGACTGGTCTGCATTGCTTGTCAGTCAGAGATGCTAAGAGTATCTGGATTTAGGGTTGTGTTTATTTTAGAATTATCCGTGTGTCAGGTTACCAGGACAAAGAAAGCAACCGTGTTAAGCAGCTACTTTTTGACACCTTTTTATACTACAGGAGATTCCAGAAGTGAACCATGACCAGAGTTCTAAATGAATGCTTTAGCTGTAGGTCTAAGTAGGTAGGCTCCAGGAAGAACCCAAAAGGCTTTTTGTGGGTTATACAAGGTCCTTGTATTATTTAAAGTTTGATCTGGCCATTTAGATTCTAAGAATTTTAAAACATGAGGGTAAGAACGGACTGTAGGTTGTCTAATAGAGTTTTTAAATGGAAGATTAGGGAAATACAAGAGGATCTGTGTTGATTCATCAGATTATATATCGCTAACCTGTATCTTAAAGAAATGGTAATCGGTACTGCTGGTTAATGTTTTTATACTTGTTAGTCAGAACATCTTCTCTCTAGAATGGGTGGCCAGCTTCCCATTTTTTAGAAAAGGAGAAGAACCATACAAAGCCAAAAAAAACTGTATTAAAGGGGGAGTAAATCCAGAAAGTCCAGCTCAAATGAGATCAATTCAAAAAGCTTGGGAAAATATATAAAAAGTTTAATAAAAAATAAATAATAAGAATGAGGAGCTACATTTGTATGTCAACATTCTTAGTTTAATACTATTCCTCTGCAAAGACAAGAGCAATTTGACATATAGATCAAATGAGTAAAAGTCTGTCCTAAGAATGTGTGGAAAATGGATCCAAATCACCAACACATTTGGGACGCAATGTGTTGGCATTTTGCAACACTTGCGTTTTTCAAAGCTCAAAAATAAAAGACAGCGTTCCGCCTTTCATTCAGTTGTGTAGGACTGATACTTTTAAGGTTAAAAAGTATCAGACATTTGAATATCATCAGCATAGCATGACATCATGTACTACATGAGCCCAGGTCTAAACAAATTAGATGTGTATTGAGCATGGGAGAAAAAAAAACTTCCTTAAGAACAAGACACGTCCAGTGGGATTCAAACTCAGGCCATTTCATCGCTTTGCACTGTGAAGACCAAATTCACAGCTTCCTTTTGTAAGTGACATGGAAGACCCATACATGCCCAATAATGTGATATGTTAATGGTTATAATGTCACAGCAGAATAAATAAAAATGTTCTTGTTCTGGCTACATGATCACCGTTCGGTGCGTGTGGCCTCACAGCTGCTGGTCTTTGTTATTGAATTTCTCAGCCGTGCAGCATGTTAAACTGTCACTGGCTTTTCTCTCAGCCTCAGTACCCTTTAAGGTACAGGTCACACGTTAGAGAGCAAAGTCTGCCTCTGTTTTTGCAATTATCACCAGTCTTCTGTTTAAAGGGGAGGAGGGGGGGTTTATTGAAACTAATTACGCATCCCTCTGGGGAGCCAGATCGCCTGAATGCCAGGCAATGAAAATACACCGAGTCGTCATTGTAATTAGACGTGATGGGAGGGAGGGCAGGGGAGGAATCTGACATCACTCCTGTCTGCGGTGTTGAGTTACTACCCTTGGAGAGGCGCCCATTGAGACAGAGCAAACAGGGGTTTCCTTCGCCTTCAAGTAGGATATGCACAACCAAGCGGTACATGAGATCATGCTTTATTCCAAAGGGATGATGAGAATAAGCCCTCAGAGTCACACCTTTTGGATTCAAAGAGAGAATGGAAGGCTGAGGACAATTTTCTAAAGAAAGCGTCACTCTGAGTTATAGCATTGACTCAGTGTGACCCAACCTGAAGGGATCATCTGTGACGTTTTGTTGCCATGCAACGGTGACTGATTAGCTGCTGTTTTCCACTCCCACAGGGAACGTCAGGAGCAGCTGATGGGATACCGCAAGAGAGGACCCAAGCCTAAGCACCTTCTTGTTCAGGTAAGACAAATAAATAGAATTTATTTTCATAAAAATGTGAATTAGTATTACGCTGAGACCATTCCTTCTTCCAGAACTTTTCCTGTTTGCTATCAGACTGCAAGGTATTTTATTGGGATTTTATGTGGTAGACCAACTCAAACAAATAAAGATTTGAAAATAGTGGTATCATGTACGTTTAGCCCTCTTTTTTCTAGTAACCTTACAGTAAATGAAGTCCAATAATTTAGACCATTGATTTAACTCCAGCTTTTCTGTGAAGGCTTTTTCTAGAAGGTTAATTTAAAAGAAAAAGCATCACAAATACCAAAGAACACAATGAAAGTTTAAACCAATATTTGGTTATAAAACCATATCCTGTATCCATACCATCTCAATAGCACTATTCAATCCATCTTTTGAAAACGGACACAACAGCATCCTACCAATACATGTCCATTGATCAGAACTGACTGTGGCTAACCAGGAAGAGGATCCACTGATCAGTTAACAGCATCTGTTGACGCAGCAAATACTAGTTGTAAGCAGCACTCAACTTTAAAAACTATAGAGGCTTGACAGAGATAGAGACTTGCAGCCTCTATGGAGATTTAAGCTTATAAAAACACGCCTAATTTCTCAGATTTGTGACGTAAAGCAAGAAAACCGTGTACTCTTTTTATTGGGATACTTTGTATTGTATTACAAACATAGAAAATAGATATAAGCTTGTGTTTTTAGCAGTAAAAATATGAAATGGATGTAAATACATTTGTAAGAAATGAGAGGTACCATTTGGTTGTTACTAGCAGTTACTCAGATTTAAATTATTCTATTGTTTTTAGTTTAATTAACCTCCAGATTCCTAAATCTATAGCTGTTATTAAAAAAGTGCAAATCGTTGATTTAATGTATCAATCGAGGCTCCCTAAAGGTCAAAGGATCCCCCTCAGAGGCGGTCTTTGTTCCTCTCAGGAGGGTGTTTTGGTAACACATGGGATAAAGTCAATGAGGATACACAAAGCCACAAGTGACATTCCTCAAGGCTGAGGTCACAGCCACAGGAGACACTTTGAAATGTCACTCTGATCTCCGGCCTGGTGGCTCGAAGAGCTGCAGGGGAACTGCAGGAGGGCTGTGTGAACATGGGCTCAAGGCCCCTGAAATAAACTGTGTACTCATTTGGGCCTCACAAGAACCCTCGCACACATTCCAATCTTAGCGTCTCTGTAGCAGCACCATGAAAGCAATGGGCTTTCTGTTGTACTCTGACATAGATGCGCCATTAATTAGATTTTCTTAGATAAAAGGAAGTCTCTATTCAAAGAACACCTAATTATTTACGTCAAACGTGCCTTTTGAGTAATTGTTCTCCTGTTTTGCAGGTGCCATCATTTGCCAAGAGGTCCAACTTTCTGGCAAACCTTCAGGAGGCGTCCCTGGAAGATGACAGCTGTCAGAAATCCAGCCCTATCCAGATGATACGCCCCCAGTCCCAGCAGTTCCAGCTGAACAATAAGAAGCTTCACCAGTACCAGCCTCTGAGCAGGGAGCATGAGGCAGAGCAGCAACCCAATGGCAAGAAGTTCTTCTATGAGCTCAACAGCAAGAAGCATCACCAGTATCAACCTGACCTGAAGTCACAAGAGCCTGTTTTCAACAAACCCAGAGACATACAAGCTCCAGAGCTGGCTAACAAAGGATATAACCTCCCAGCAGTGTTGCAGCAAAAGTGGGTTCGGGACAAGGACTCAGGCTGTCTGACTAAAGTGAAGGATATTACTATGGAGCTAAAGAAACTTCCAGCTGACCTTAACGGACAAAAAGAGCCAGAGAGGATAAAACCTAAAGAGGACACCTCTCCACATCCCAACGGTGTCAGCAGCAGTAAACTAAAAATTGTTAAGAACAAGAACAAGAACGGGCGGATTGTCATTGTCATGAGCAAGTACATGGAAAACGGAATACAGAGCGCTAAAACCAAACACGGAGACTCTGATGGCGCTGAAAGGCCACTGCAAGGTGCAGACAGCAGCATGGAGAGGCACCTGGCAAAAATGAAGCTCGTCAAAAAGCTTGGCCTTATGAACGGATTCCCTAAGGAACCCAAAGACAACCCGACCCCTCCCAGTCCGGGAATAAATGGAGATTGCTGCAAAGAGAAAGAACTATCCACTCAAACAGACCGAACTGTGGCCGAACAGGATAAACCCACAGCGGTAGGGGGCGAGGGGCAGTTTCCACAACATCAGCCTTTACAGCTGACAACTAAGCCCGACCTACTACATGTACCCCCAGAGAGAGGGGCCCTAGACTTTAAAGGTACCCAGAATGGGCTTCATGGACTAAAGCGGCACCTCACTGATGCAGATGCTGAGGAACACGGATGCAGTAAGAGGTTAATAAGTAACAAAAGCATCAGTGTTCTCAACACTATTCCTCCTCCCTCCCAGAGCCCTGCGTTCGACCAAAACGGACTGAGTCCCGCTTTACTGCAGGACTATGGCTACGCAGACCAAGAGGAGCCCATGGACCTGAGTATTGTAAAGTCGAGGCCCGTATCCTCAGTCTTTTGCGAGACTGAGCCGGAGACACAAACCGAGGAACATGTACATTCACACGACACACAAACACAGACAGACACAAAAACAGAGAGCCAGACTGAGACACACAGCCCCTCAGTGGAGGAGCGAGTCGACTCTGTGTCTGGTTCCCCCCACCAAGCAAAAAAAGAAGAGGCCTTTCCTTCTTTCCAGCCTAGCCTTGGGAATATAGTCATCACAGACATTACTGCAAACTGCCTCACCGTTACCTTTAAGGAATACATAACAGCATAACACGGCTGGGTACCACCTGCAGGACATATTTGTATTTTCTGATTCCTGAATGTGCAAATCAGGCATTAATGTTTTCATTTTGTAAAACTCAAGAGTTCAACAAGAAAGACTCTTTTACTGCTTTTCTTGTATATTTTCTAAGTACAAGCCCATCTGTTGGTATTTTCAAGTTTAAGCCTTATCTGAGCTGCAAATTGTAATCAAATAATTGATGAAACTAGCGTAACATGCACTTACATTTGTAGAAAGTTTTTCATGGATATAATTGGATTTATACACTCAGCTGTCTATGGATAATATTGGATAAATGTAGGCTTTAAAGAGAGTTTTTGTAAGGGAAAAAATATATCAAATCAAGGTACAATACACTGTGTCAGAGAGTGTGTGTATGTATGTGTGTTAGAGACTGGGACTGTTTTAAACATGAATGTGTGCTGCTTGGATGTTGATGATGCCATTAGGCATGTTTAGACGGGCAGATAAAGACAAATTAAGCACCTTTACTGTCAATGTGTGTCATAGAACCAGAAGAAAGGTGACCATCAGTCATGATCACCTATTGTTTCGTTTCAGAACCTTTCTATACATTTATGCCCCCTATGATCTTAAACTGAGCACAAGTCACTTCCGTTTAGTTTCCAGCATCTGTTTAACCTACTAACGGGGTCTTCTTTTAGTGGGAGTTCGGGCACAATCAACTTTGGGGGGAAAAAAAAACAGCAGCAACTTTAAACCCTTTTCAGATAACATTTGAAGCCTCATGGTTAATGGGAACAAAAGGAGCAGAATAAAAAACTGAAGATTCCCCATGATACTAATTGCAATAATTCTTTTTTGTTTTGTTTGTTTTTTCTGCAAGAAAATCTGTAAGGTGTAATTCTCTTTATACCGCTTTTATCTGTAATGTTCAATGCCTGGACTACTGTGACCTCAACATGTGTAGAGGTTCTGAAGCCAATTTTATACACTGAAAAAAATAATGCAATCACTTTTTGCATTTACTTAATCATATTTAGTTATTTTAACATTATTGTTTTGTCCTACCCTGATAACATAAAACAATTGTGTTAAAGTTACTAAATATAATTAGATAAATGCCAAAAATGCTTTCCTTCTTTTTTTTCAGTGATCTGACTGCTTGTGGCCTCTTTGTATACTGGGGGATATCAGAAACTGGGGAGTCTTTTTGGAGGATTATCATGCAGACTGTGCAGAGCTAGTCTGTGCTATGTTCAGTGGGTGTCACCTTATCAGTTTAAGTATCAATAAAAGTTAATTTCAAATGTGAAACCCATATTTGTTCCATGCAGAGGGTTGTTGCAAGCATTTGTTGATTTGAATTCGGATTTACAGTTTGAAAATGTCCACATTTCTTTGACATTTTTCAGAAAACATAAAAATAAAAATAAAGAATTTTTTTTAAAACAGATTATGGCTAATAGTTATCTACTTCTATGCACTTGTTGGGGCTTCTCTTGCATGAACTACAATGTTAGTCCAGTGTGTCTCTGCTGAGGTGTTATGGAATCCCAGGATGCAGCATTGAGCTCATCTGCGTTGTTGAGTCTGATGCCTCATATCTTCTTCTCTACAAAACCACACAGATTCAGACAGGCTCGGGTCAGGCAGGTATACTGATCAACTAAGGAGTAAAAAAAAAAGGGTATAGATATATAAAAAAGCATCCTGTACTGCTTGGGTTTTCTTATGATTTTCGCTTAAGATGATTACACTTATTTTTAGTGTGGAAAGGGTTCCTGGATCCGAAATCAAACCCTCTCAATATTGGTAAATAAAGCTGATTCTGATATCTGGGTCATGTCAGGTGCTGGCACTTTTCTAAGTGTGAGATACCGGGACCTGCTGGGAAATGAAATGAGCATAATTATAAAGCTTGTCAGCAGAAAACACCTTAAAGTTTCCTGAGAGAGATGACAGCATGGACTTTAGACCAAATAAAATCAGAGGACCACCACCAGCAGATGAGAATGATGTCTCACTGTGTTAACTTCACAGCGGATTTTGGGCATCATGGGATCTGTGTCTTTCCACTCTCTTCAGACTCAAATTAAAAATGTATTTTAATCTGAATATAGGACCACAAGGGAAAAAGTCCAACCATTTGTTGGCTTTATAAAAACCCCTAGTCCTGCTTGTGAATCATTTCAATTATCTCAACTGCTATCCCCATTGCTTTGAACTTGACTGCAATGTTTACTTCCACCATAAATGCTTATAAATGACATTCTGAGAACAACCAGCTTCTATAGCAGTGACATGTTCACTATGTCAGTCTATCAACATTTTTTTTGTGTGATTAGTCAGTAGTTTGTGCTTTATTTAACAGAAATTTGGTTTTATTCAAATGAACAGACCTAAAAACCATCATTTAGATGGTAAAATGGTTGAATAGAGTCCTCCCGGTAAAATATACTCATTAAAAGCTGGACGTATAGACCTGAGAGGCTCTTTCAGTCACCTCTTTAAGGTTTGAATGCATGTTCCATGTGTCATAAAAGCAAAGTAAAAGATATTTCGACAGTAATTAAATGAGAGGATATTTCCCTACAAGGTGCAGGGCGCACTTTGGCGCTCTCTTGCCCGAAAAGAACCAAATGCGTCTTTTCTGACCACTAAAATAAAAACAACTGGCTGATATCCTCCTTTGTTTGGAAGGAAACGAGATGATTTGGCGAAGAAAGCGGCAGCAGCTCAACCATTTCCTCCTCTGCTGCAAGTGGAACAGCTCTCAGCCCGCATTAATGTGAGCAACGACAGAGAAAATGGCTGTCCTCGCTCCTCTCCTCTGCGCAGTTTCTGTTCCAAAAAGACGCGCAACAGATTCCCCGCGTATAGCTGCAGAATTTGCGCAAGCCTGCGGCTTGTTGTCTTGCATATAATTAACAGCCTATAATAAGATGCGGCGTCATCTCACACACAGATTCAGATGTATAAAGTCATTTTCTAAGAACGGAGGCAGAATTTGCACACATGATTAAGGCTGGGCCACCCGCTGATCTTTAATAAGAAACTCTCAGGGAGTGGATTGGTTCTGCTTATGAAAGAGGAACTCATAGAAAATCAGAAAAAAGCAGCTAGAATGAGCTTCCGGAACATGTTTTCCATCTGTATGGACTTATTTTTTTTAAATGCACAAATAAATGCGTTTCAGCAAAATCTATGTGGTTGATATTAACTCTGTCGAACAAATGGAAGTTTAAAGAATTAAACAAAACTAATTAATCTGTGCAATCATTTGCGCCCTAACATTTATGTCTGTGTAATCCCAGTTGGGTCGATTTAAAAACTGGATAATAGATTATGTTAATCTGGATTAACAATTTTTTTTGTAAAATAAGAATGGTGCACTTTCTGCTTTTAAAAAATCGTTGTCTAATTGCATTTATGGCTGTGTTATCAATCAGCATGCAAATTTGTCATGATGTGCTCCAGCTTTTAAAGCTTTTGGAGGTAGCCATGCAGCCTGGACCATATGCAGCTTAAATCCCCAGGAGAGACCATGAGCAACATGGAGTACCTACAAATCTATAGATCATAATTTCCAGAGAACAACAATTAAAATGTATTTAATGTATGATGAGTCATAAAAATGAAAACTCCCAGTTTGAAATGTTAAAAGCATTGATTTAAATTAGCTGGAATGCTGATTGCCAGTACAAACCCAGGAAATAACAAATGACAATTGGCACCACTCTGACTACACTGAAATGACATCCCACCAAATTAGTTATTCGGATGAATAACCTTCTGTTTAGTTGGAAAATGTAAAAAAAAATAAATAAATAATAAAAAGACTTCAAATTTGGTACCAATAATAGAACCATGGATACCCTGAAAACGTTTGGGTCGTTTCTGCTGGGTTGGAGGCATATGCTATATGTGTCAGCCTGCATCTCTGATCCTGGGCCTTTTAAGTTTGTAATCCTAAAATAACAGGGTTTGAGGGAAGTTCTCTGCTTTCTTGACACGCATTTGCAAAAACACATAAAGCAAAATCTGCTTGTTTGGCTGTAATGAATCCATGAACTCAGTGTTTGTTTGTTTTTGTTTTTGGCAATTATAATATTGGGACTGAAAAAGAAGAAGAAGGCTACCTGGACCCATTAATTATAATATAAACAGTTTTACTGCATGGTTTTTACGCGATTCTTTGGAACGCATCATTCTACACCAAATGATGTAAAACCTGAATCCCAATGTGAATCATCCTATATCTGTCTGGGGTTCTGAGCGGAGTTTGTGTTTTTTCCTGTCTCTTGCGCACCGACAACCCGCGCGTCTTTGCCCGGATACAAGCCAGCCAATGGTATCAGAACGCAGCAGCGGTGCTGCACTGCAGGCGCGCCGAGACCAATCGCAGCCTCACTCTGAGCTGCGCCCATCTTCCATTTTCTGTCTGCTATTTTGTTCATTCAGATGCTCGCAGATTTGTAATCAATTAGATATATCATTGCTGTGATGTGCTGTGTGAAAGCGGAGGTAGTCCCCTGCCATCTAACCAGGCAATTTGTAGCCTGTATTATATTTTAGGATACAGATTTTGGGTCTAGTTTCAGCTATTTCGGGATTCATCCTTAAATAAAAAAATCTTAAGTGTATTTGATCCTTAAACTCAGACTGTAAAAGAACAGAACTCCCCTAAAAATGTGGTGCGTCTTGGTTTATCTGCTGCTGCATTTTTTAAACAACTGGATATTCTGTGTAATATTTATATAGATTTGAATAATAAAGCTTAATGTGTTAAAATGAGCAAACTTCCCGTGCATCAGACTATGCGCAAACTGCTTGGTTGAATATCAGAGCGGAAATCAAACTGAAATGATCTGTGTTCAAATCTGCATCTCATCCAGATTAAGGCCCATATATCTTCTAGAAGCACAGTAAGGAAAATCTCTTTATTTAAGTTCCTTTCATGAATTGCTGCATTTAGGTTTTGAGTGTTTAACAGTGTTTTTGAGGAGCAGTGCATACAGGAATTAATGGTATCCATTGTAGTTTATTAAAGACATAGGCGATTTATTTAGTTCGCGCTTAATATGAGATTATAGCCATAATATTTGGATGGTTTGATTTGTTTTACCATTTTACTTTTAGATGTAATTTTTCACTGAGGTGTTTATTTTTTAGGCCTATGTATCTATAATAGGTTTTATCAAACGTTTCAGAACGTCCCAATAACCCTGATCAGACTCGTGATTGATAAAAAAAAAAAAAGAAAATGTGGGTGAAAGCCTTGGTTTAATATTGTATAATCTTTAGTGTCGCTGGTTAATTTAATTCTACAACTAATAGGGAATAAAACAGATCCCGTCGACATCCGAACTAAAGCACTTTAATTATTTCAAACACGCTTTTGCGCATTAGTTTTGGATCAATCTCGAGGTTAAATCTCATCAAATCATTTATTACACAACCTGGAGCCCAATTTGTACGATTGGCTCCATTTATTTCCGAAAGTCAAAGACATTCTTCAAGCTTAAAGTCACATTGTGACACTTTTTTTTATATACATATGACCCATCGACTTGGATTCATGGTCACAGAACGTCTCGTGCGGCGTTTGGGTGCATCAGGAATAACCAATTAATTTAAAACCCCAGCTTATTCAGATAAGAACAAGCAACTGCTATCACAGGCCTGATTATATTCCTTATAATAAAAATGTTGTGTTAATGTGTAATTGTGTTGATTGTAGCCTATCTTTCCATTTACGTCATCTGTAGACTATTGTTTATTGAAATAAATTGTGCTTTGTTGTTATGCTATCGTTTATTTTTTTAAACTCCCCGTGACATGTATAAGACGTTTATTACAACATATTAGTTGATACCAAAAAATACATAATTTACAAAAAAGGGTTTAAACTTGCAACACTATTATTGCTCAGTTGCAGCGTTATATAGAGCTACATGAAAAAACTTCCCGGCCTCGTATTTTAATAATGACCATATCATTTTATTATCATTATTTCCCTAACAGACCTAATTTAAGGTAAAAAAAAAAAATAAATAAATAAATAAATAAAAAAAACTTACAGAAACTATTATCTTCTTTTAAGATAGGCCTATAGGTTATCGGTTCATTTTATTTAAAATAATCCAAACAATTGCTTTCTAAATTTTGGAGATTTCGACTATTCCTTTGTAAAGAATCGGATATAAATATTTAACAATAATTGAACCCTAAGCTTTGACCTCTTTGCAAACTTTGAAGTCATTTTTTTTATTATTATTATTTCAAAAAAATTCCGGAAACAAAAAAAAAAACAAAATATCATAGGCTAATCAATAAATAAATAAATAAAAACGTAACAGTAATATATATTGTACTACTAACCCGATTTTTATTACATAGGAAAACTGAATAAACCAATTAAATTGATAAAATTAATAACGATTTAACATTATCTAAAACTTTCATTATACATTTCGTAGATGTGTAATTTTGTTCCATGTTGTTTGTTTATTGACTTGACAGCACCGTCACATCAGTAAATATAGTAAATTATTTAGTTGACGTCATATAGGTTGAATGACAGAATTCATTTGCTGCGCAGGTTAAGCTGAATAAAAAAAAAATAGGCCACCATTTTACTCTTCGAAAGAATTCATCCACGCTCCTCCTCCACTAACAAGTCCGAATCACGTGTTAATGGCTGGACCAATGAGCGGCCAAGCAGTGATTCCACCGTCTGCGGTTACTTAGCAACACCGTAAAAAAAAAAACTGTGCTGACGTCCTTTGCTGTTTCGCACTATTATGGTCTGTCGGGAATTCTGTCGAAGGGAGGGGAGGGGGATATCTACTGAACTAGCGCCCATCAGGCTAACGGTAGGTAGCACTGGAGTAAACATGGAGCTGTCTGCCGTTGGGGAGAGGGTGTTCGCGGCCGAGTCTATTATCAAACGGAGGATAAGGAAGGTAAGGAGGGAGGAGGTTCTATTCTGCTATCCCAGAATACAGCGTTACCATCACCGTAACAGTACTGTTGCCTCCGTAAGCTAACCGAGTCCCGTTCTGTTTGCTTCTGACGGCACGTAGGGTAGCATTGAGTACCTGGTGAAATGGAAGGGATGGTCGCCCAAGTAAGTTGTGCTACACTGAATCTTTGACATGTTTTTAACGAAACGCAGAGCTGTCTGTACCGCTCAGCGTTTGGTTGGTTCGCAGAAGCTAGCGGGATTAAAATCACCTAGAGGGCTTTTAGCTGTGGGGCTAACGAGTATAGAGCTGTCAGTCTGATTTAGTGCTTCACTCCGCAGATACAGCACTTGGGAGCCAGAGGAGAACATTTTGGACTCTCGCTTGTTTGCCGCTTTCGAGCAAAGGTGATTCATGTTTAAGCATTTATGGACAGAGCCAGTAAACATAGAATAAAGTCTGCACACTTACGCTTCGTGCACTTTGCTCCCATGACACTTCAGCAGGCATGTCTCTCTCTGTTGTTGTTTTAACAGAGAGCGTGAGAGAGAGCTGTATGGACCCAAAAAGAGGGGACCAAAACCGAAAACCTTTCTCCTCAAGGTGAATTTATTTTTTATCCGATGTTGTTATTTATTTTTACAGCTTCCTCTTGTTTGATCATTTCATTTAACTCTCTGGGAGCAGCAATCAGAGCCAACCCGGGAAGGCCCTGAGCTGAATGTTTGATTTTTCTATATGTTCTTTCATTACGCTGTTGTCTTCTTAAAATTCTTCGTTTGTCAATTTGTGCAGAAATTAGTCATTATAAAAAAATAAAAAATAGAACAAACTCCTTTGGATGTCCAACTTTTAGTAAACACGCCTGCCACCAGAGCAGTGTTTGTCCTTAATTTTATATCAGAATCAGAATATGATCCATCCTTGAATGTTTCTTAGATTGTTATAGAGTCATTACAACCAGTTTGCTAGCATTGAATCCCTAACTTGTTTAAATAGATAGCAGTTGGAATGTCAATTATAGACGTGTTTATATATCATTTTATTTTTGTAGTAATTTCTATAAGCACTCCAGTGATGGCAATTCTTAACAAAGTGCAAAATCATTCAACTGGATGGATAGTGATTTAACTCCTATAGTGTTTGGAAATTGCAACAATTTTGGGGTCTATTTGTTTCTTGTTTTAATATATATATTTTTTTATATTATTTTCAGATTATGAAATCTCATACTTACCAAGTTGTTTAGATATGGTGTAATATAAAATTTAAAAAAATATATATCCTATTTCTTTTCGGAGGGAAAGGAGCAAAGTTATTGATGTTTCTGTTATTCCTTTCAATAAATAAAAGACTAAATGAAATAGTAAAATGAATCAAATGTCATGTCATGATAACTAAGGAAAGTACTTGATGAATTTTCTCTATGGAGCATCTCTGTTGTTATAAGGGCTTTGATTTACGTGAACAGAAATATAAGCTGATAATATTATGGGATTTTGTATTTTGATTCGGGTAAAAAAAAATTTAGGTAATAATACAGGCCATGTGAAATCATGTGAAAGGGTTATATTTGCGGATTTTCTTTTATAAACCGTTTTTAATTAGACAGTACCCCAAAAAAAGCCCAAACTCTGATAGGTAGAGGTTTTATTAAGCTATCAAGATGAAAGAATAAATAAACACAATTTATTTTTTTTGTTTTATTAAAAAATGGCTAATTTTATGTTTTCTTTTAGGCCCAGGCTAAAGTTAAAACTAAGTCTTATGAGTTCAGGAGCGAGGCAGTCAGAGGGATGCACATCACCTATCCAACCCCCGAGCCGGTCTTCACCCCCAGGGCTAGAGAGGGCCTGAGAGCGGTTGTTCCCACCATCTTTCCACCGAGCACAATCAACCGAGGAGAAAGCGTGCGCGTGATTCCCCACGAGCACCAGCCGTCGCCTCAGCAGAGTGTTTCAGACAGGCTTGTCCAGACACCCAAAAAGAGGGGGCCAAAGCCAAAGCCCCGCTTTATAGGTGACGGCCGCAGCCCGGTGGTCTTGGAGACAAGCAAGAGGATAGCTGAGGAGGTGGGGGGGCAAGGTCCTTACAAACTCTCCAAATTTCATGGAGATGAGATGAGGCTGCAGAAGTTGTCCCACAGACACTCGGAGGACCACCCTCGCAGCTCTAAACACCACTATCAGCACCACTATCATCATCACCTCGCACAGAAACTGTCCAGCGGCGGTTCCTACAAACGGTTCCTTTCTCACCACAGCACACACCCACACAGGACGAAGGACCGCTGCAGCTATCTGGCAGCAGCTCAGGTCAAACACCATCAGAAAACCAACCAGAGCAGAAGTGGAGCCGCCGAGTTCCCGCAGATGGAAAAGCCTTACTTTCTGGACAGGCAGTCACCAACCAAGTTGGACGACGACGACCAGGAAGAAACGACCTGGAGGCCGAGCCTCAGCGACGTGGAGAAGGTGCTGGTGACGGACGTCACCGCCAACTTCCTGACTGTCACCATCAAGGAGAGCAGCACCTCAAAGGGCTTCTTTAAGGACAAAAGATGATTCTGAACCACTTTGTTTTTTCTGACTCTGAAGTATATGAGATATAAGCAACACGGTTTTGTATATCGTGTATAAAGGCTAATTACTTTCTAATATTCATATGTGTATAAATAAAATGTTGGACATATATTGAATGTATTGACCAAATAAAATGAAGTCGGTTTGACCTAGGGTGTCAGTGAATGTGATGCTTCCTTTACATGAGGAAGCAACCCACTGTACAGCACTCCTGGATATCACTATTTTCCTGCTGAATTCAGTAACATTAGTTTTCTTTTCAGTATATTCTCCAAGTTTAGTTAAATCAAGATGACTCTTTAAAAGCTACATTTAGTCTGTATTAACTTGGCTGCTTAAGAAGAGGTTTGTATTTAAAAATGAACTCAAGCACTTTTACTTCAGACATATTTAAAATATATACATATATATATATTTGTTTTCCTAAGGAGTTTAGTATTTTTAGCATAAAGAAAAAACTTTTGTCCAGGTTTCATACTTCAAACTTTTCCCGTTACAACACCCCATTTTATATTTTCCTAGAAATGTTTGCTGTAACAGAAAGTTTTTAGATGCTTTGCAATAAATCAGTTGTTTGAGCTTAGTGGTCTTCTTTTTTTTTTTCTAACAGGGGACTTCTTCTAAACTACAAAGACTACCTAAAGTTTTATATATCCTATAAAATAAATAGATGGTTGTGACAAAAAAATCGATTTTTATTCTTTCAAAAAGACTAATTGGTAAAATCACTTTCAAAATGTGTTACTATGAATCCCTGAGTAGGAAGTTTAGGCCTGCTAGAATAAAAAAAGATGGTTGTGTTATTTATTTATTTTTAATGCGAAGCTTTTTCATTTTAACTGAAAACCAAGCTAAACCTTAATACAGTGGCATCTCAACACATTTATAAAATATAATTTTTTTATATGCAGTTTAGAAACGCGCGCCTGCGTGCGCACTGTCGGTCTGCGTTTATATATATATACTTTTTTATCTCATTATTTTTAAACCACCCAGTATGTATAAAGTGGGCTGAATTAATAAAATTAATAAACAAATAATGAACACACAGGCTTAGATCGGAAGGAAACCGGACCTTGTCTCAGTTTTCTGAAGACTTTTAGACGTCTATCCAGGAATCGTTTCCATATCTGTTGGCGCGCGCCAGACTCCTGGAAACGAAAATCTGCCTTCCAATCTAAGCCTGTTTGTGGTTGCCATGACACCGGATGACTGATCATTTACAGACAAAATAAAGAACAACAAATGCGTTTACATCAAGCAGCAAATGGTTCGACTTGTTAAAACTTTAACAGATAAATATTAGGTTTTACCTGCAGGTTCCAATGCGCGCTTATTTTGAAAATATCAATATGTAGGTTTAAAGCTTAATTATAATAATAATAATGGGCTAGGCGTGTGTTATTTATTCAATGTTAGTTTATTTTATTTTTATTTCTTTTCATAATTGGTACTGAAAAAAATACAGAAAATAAAAGCTATTAAAGGAGGTAAACTACACTTTTCTACATTAGGAAATATTTCTAACAACGTTTCTCCAGAAATTGGGAGAAGAAAAGTTTTAGGATATATTTTTAACGCTTGTTTCCATTTCTCTTCGTGAAATCCGTCGCTCCAGATGGTTCTCTGCAAAACAGATGGAGGACATTAGAAATTAGACTAAAGTAAAACACAGAATCTCTGCTGCTGATGTTTGAACAATAAGGTGCTATTTGCATCTTTTTATTGTCTCTGATTTAACCTATAGGATGTTTGAAAAATAATACAGGGAATAAAATGTAGATGAACATTTGCAGACGCGTTATTTGGTAGGCCTTCATGCAAATAAAGAAATAGCGCGCAGAGAGGAGGATCTATTGGTTTTTCTACTCAAAGATGAAGTCAATAATTAATAAAGTCAGCAGCAGACAGACTAAATCTGGACATTTGGAGACCTTGTTGCTGCTCAGACCGGGTGGCCGTAGTTTCTGTCGCAGCGCGGTGGGCAGTGTGGGTTCAGCCAGTACTCCATGTTGGTCTCCTGGGCCCTCTGCTGCAGAGCCTGCATGTGGAGCATATGTTCCTATGGAGACATTAAACATCCAGAGAGCAGCCGCATGAGCCATGATGGATCATAGCCTGTTTGACCTTTTGCACAAATTCAACTAAATGAGACGATCACAGAGTCAGAGTGAAACCCTGCAGATTCAGATAAAGTTTAGGCATGTGGAGGAAGCCAAACTGCATAGATAAGACAAACTTATTTGCGCCAATTGCGTAACTATCGGTAAGCAGACTATGTAGTTGCTTAGGGGCCCCATCACTAAGACATGGTAGGCCCACTACGCAATTGAAGACTAGGACGTCTCTTTGCAGATGTAATGGTGCGAATATGGCTCTGATGATTTGATCTGATTGACCGGACCTTATTTATACCCCAACACATGGCAGAGTTCAGCAGGATGGTGAGCCAATAGCAACTCTTAGCTAAATTTAGTTTATTCAAGTATACTAAATGGCACTAATTTCACACTTAAAATCAGGCAGTGCACTTAGAGTTTACTTATTTTAAACTATATTTCATATACTTAAAAATAGTATAGTCAAGTGTACTTGACTATACTATTGTTTACTTTATTGTTTACTAAAGTATACTTTAAGTATACTTTAGTAAACTTAAAAATCTCCCATTTGAGTTTGAAGAAGTATTACTTTAGTAATACTTCAAGTACACTAAAAGTACAATGTTTGGTATACTTAAGTATTCTTAATAGAATTTACTTCAAGTAGCCTATACTACTTTTTGCTACACTGGAAAAAGTATAACCTTGCTCAAACTAAAACAAATGATGTCCAGATATCAAATGTAAAATATTTGACTTCACAAAATCTGAATTTAATCGCTTGATATGACCTGATTATATTATGTTGATGTAAACAATAATACTGCACTTGACACAACTTAAAATCTTAGCCCTGTTCCAAATTATTTTCTGAATATTTCAGTTCATCAATCAAACTAATATATTGACATAGGAACAAACCTAATATACTTACTTTTAACTAAATTCACAAGAATTAATGTTTGTATAGAAATTTAAATATAACCTAATTAGATTATTCACATATCATTTGACTTTACTTCAAAAGTAATTTCCATTTCCAATCTTACAAACTCATAAGAGAAAGCAGACAATGGTACTTTTAATTACTATGTTAATAACTTAGTTCATTAGACGGTTGGTTAAAAAAAATACACTGATATCATATGTTTCAAACTGCAATAAAGATCTTAAAAGAAGGATGTATTTGAGTATTTTTTTTTTTTTTTTACAATACGACTTGTAATTATGGGTAATCCAGAGCATAAATGGAAAACATAACCGTTACATGTTGTACTTCATATGGGGCCCATCCAGATAATGTTGCTTTCGGGCTTTTTGTTGTGTCGTTACGCCACTGAGCTGCGCAACCTTTAGTTTTAACTGCTTTGTAAAAACTAGTGCACAGATAACCAAAATAAAATGGACTCTCCTATTTAGAAAAAAAAAAATGCACACACTGGTGCTCCGCTGTGTCCTTCCAAATATTCTCCTTATGCTGTAGACTGAGCGGAATAAATGACATTTTAAACTGATTTCTGATGTTCTATAGCGCCCCCCTGAGGTGATCATAAGAAACCAAACCAATAGATGATTTCTACAGTTCACTTCCCACCACTGAATCAGTGCTATTTCACATTCACACAGGTTCAGAAACCGTTTGCAACTAAAAATCCCTGTTGATTTAGAACGTTGATTTTATGATTTTATGTTTTTTATGAAGTTAAAAAACATAATACTTTAGCAGTGGCAATACTGCATAAATAGCATACTGGATGCCTTTTTGCATCCAAGCCGAATATATCACCGTTCCTGCTGTAAACAAGTAACGCATACTCCATAAAAGAAGCCAGAAGAGGAAAAATTATATACCTTATCAGTGCATTTATTTTTTTGATTGAAGGCTTTAAATTGAACACTATATTTCAGCTTCCCTGCCAAATATGGAGTATTATATGTTAATTTATACTGTCTGCACAACACCAGGGGAAGCACATTCCCATTTCACTGGAAAGGCATAGCAGGATTGTGCTTGGACCACCCACACGGCCCTCACTGCCCTGGGCAATGAGCCACATAACCCAGATCTAAATCCACCACCACACCCCACTATTCTATTCTTTCATCTGTGCAGTTTTATAGCGCTGTGTTCTAATCCAGTTTCAAAGCAAATTTAATTTGGCTCAGCTTTTATCAAATGTTTCTGCTCTGGGGGAAATTATCTAACATAGTACTTTGAGCAATTATTGCTTTTTTTGTTTTTTTCCCCTGATAAAGATGTCTAAATACCTTAGAAATACAGTATAGGACTCACCATTAAGAAACTACTGTTATCAAAATAATCATAACTATCTATTGGATATAGACCGACACAACATTCTCAAGGTTGGGACCCTGCGAGGATCTTTCACAATTCATTCATCAGATAAGCTCTCGTGCTCTTCCATACTCCCCTCTTTTCAGTTATTTCTAAACACTGGGATGGCCAAGGAAGTAGGATGTTTTAGTATTTGTATTTTATTAATTTGTTATTTAAAAGAGTACAGATGCTATGAGATCTGACAAGATCTTTCAGGACCTTAGGAAATAGAAACTTGGCCCACAGCATCACAGATCCCCTCCTTTTCCATGTATTTTACATCTGAACCAGCTGATGTTTGCTGCTGTTTTATTCAACTGGACAGTTTCAGTCAAAATGTAGGATGAAAATTCATAATGGAATAGGTTTTTGCTGAGTTGCTTGTAAAAAAAAAAAAAAAAGATTTTCACTAATGGAAGCCTTTCAATTGTCTTCTGAAACATTAACCGACAACTGAACCGCATTTTTCAGTGCAGATAAGAATGAAACATAGAAAAAAGAGCAGGAGAAAACATATCATGGTCTAAGTGAACAATTTTTAATTATGAGACTAAAGTGCAGCAATATATATCTATATATATATATATATATATATAGATATATATTTTTTTTTTTATTAATTTTTGTAATGGATTTTCGTGTCATTTTCTGCTTTGAGTTGTTTTATTTCTGTGATCGATTGGCGACCTGTCCAGGATTTATCCTGCCTTTAACACTAGAACTTCTACGGAGGGGTCAATTTACCTTTTTACCTAAAAGCCCTACAAGAGGGTCATTTGACCCTTTGGACCTCCTGCGGACACTCCTTTTGTTGTGGAAATGTGGCTGTTAGCAGCTCATAGCTGTCACTTGAGTCACAGAGTCGCTTGAGCCTGTGTGGGGAAGCTACACAGGCTCAACTAAAAGCTTGGCCAAG